CCTTCTCTGCGGTTGAGGCTGGCTTGAGCTTGTACAACACAGGTGGCGTCTCTTCAACAGCACTTTCGTTGTCTTCTGATAGGCTGCCGGATTCTGAAGCATGGCCTCGTCGGGTTTTGGTCTTGGTCTTCACGGGTTGTGGCAATCGGTCCTTCGCCTCGACCTCTTGCTGTGTGCCGAAAGATCTGCATTCTTCTTGTTGAGGTGCCGCTTTCCTAGCTGAAGCTCGCTCCCTTGCGGCCTTGAGGCGGTCCAAGACCATGCGTCTCTCACTGTCTAACTGAGCAGCATTTTCCTCCGAACCAGACTGTCTCATCCACTCCAGCTGAGGATCTATACATTCTTGTGGTATGCCATTTGTCTCTAACATTGTCTGGTATGTACTTCTTGCTTTTGCCCATAGACTTTTTAGTGCCGAATGTGCGATGTCGCGCCGAGCTAGCCAGTTCTCGTCTTTCCTGCCAGTCGGCATGCGAAATTGGTTCAGAGGGTTGATAAAAGAACCGAGTCCCATTTCTGCCGACAGCATGATGACCAGCTTGTTCAAGACCTGCCATGCTCCTCGGGTTTCTTGGAGAATGTCTGGACCGGGCAAACGGAAGGAGGGTCTGTGAAGATCGAGTAGCTTCATCATACGTGTGATAGCTGCCAATTCGGATATGCATCTTTGAATTTCCTGGTCTATTCTCTCGGCTTCTCGGCGGGGACAACTGTCGAGAAAGTCGTCAAGATATTGCAATACCGCCGAAGGTTCGAAAACATGTCGCTCATCGAAATTCGACGTCAGCTGATAGAGGCACCAGCCGATGCGATCGTCTCGATGGAGGGTAGTGTAGTCTCTGAGCTCGAGAATCAAAGCGGTTCCCAAAAGTTGCTGCTGGGCAGTACCTGTGACCTTGAAAACCTTCGAGAAAGCTGGAGACCTTATCAGATGTCTTTTCAGGTTTAGCTGATGATAGGGCAAGGATCTCCGCAGCATCATCTCTAAGCTACCGAGCGCTCTCTCATATTCCTTGGGCAGAGGTTTCCCAGGACCAATCTCTGATCCACTCCTTTGCAGTTCTCGCTTAACGTTCTGGCATTCCTCTAATAGCCATTGCCAGTCCCTAGCTTGGAGAATAACTTTGAGTGTCATGATGAAGCCAATATTATCAAACTTCTCCTTCGCTGTGAGGTTTGGCCGATGCGGTCCCTTCTCTATCTTGTCGAACCATGTTGCTTCGTGGTATCTGGAGCGCTTATAAAAGTACTCTAAGTCTGTTTGCAGAAGCCATAGCTCGTCTTGTGCTTCATCTGCCTGATTTTCAGCTATGTCAATCATTGTGTCAATGTTGAAAGCGGGGGCAGCAGAGTAGGGTTGGTTGGAAAACATTGCTCCGAATGACAGCCAGGGCTGATCTTTCTTCTGGTCGGCGTTCAGAAACTGCGACCATTCCGTGCAGACCTCAAGGCCACGAGGGGCGATAGCATCCGTAGCAGGATCTGTGGAGATGACTTTGGCGGGCGTTTTTAGTGACTTCGAAGGTTTTGCGCCGTCTAGAATGACCGTAGTCAAATCACGCAAGAACTTCAACAGAGTTTGCTGTGACTCTAGGATCATCAAAGCTCTAGGCGCCCCACATGCATCATTGCGATGCACCGCAACGGAGTCGAACGTGGACCATTTGCCAAACTGGTCACCATGCATCACGATGCACCCATCGGCGGACTTCTCTGCAAGAGTGCACTGTTTCCATCCCGACCACAGCATTGCATAATCAAATGGCACCCACTCTTCTGGAAGGGAGTTGGTCCGGTGAGTTAGGAGGCCGAGGAGTTTCGTAGGGTCTCCTGACAAGTCATCCACATTGAGGTACGGCAACATGTAACCCATGCGATACTCTCTCTGGTGCCTTAGCTGCTCCACGCGTGATGGGATGTCGACGAGTGGGTTGCGGTTTCGATACAAATCTGGCTTGGCCTTCTCTAAGAACGCTTTGCGCTTTCCAACTCCCGCGCGCCATCTGTTGAGAATGGATAACCCAGATTCCGAGATCTTTCGACGGAGAAACGCGCGATCGACTTCAATAGAGCGGGAGTAGCTTTTGGCAAGCGAGGCAGCGTCCTTTACATGGCCGAGGTAAACGAAAGGGATGAGATCTTGCTGATCGAGTGTCCTGTACTGACGAAGGCAGTGGCTGCACTCACAAGGAGGCTTGAAGTTCATTTCTCGCATGACCGCAGCTATTTGATTCCTCGCTCTGACTACTTCCGGGTCAGAGTAGTCAATGGCCTCACCCTTGGCCTTGGTGACATTTCTGGTAGCCATATTCAATCGCCCCAAGGCTGAGCCTTATGGGACCACAAATATCTGAATGTTACGTGAAGTCTGAACCAATGTAGCTGACGGCTCGAAGCCTTGAGTCTTGTTTGATGCGAAGTAAGTCTGGCAAAATGAAACGTCTGTTCGAAGGTCGCCTTTGTATGAGATTAGCAATTTGCGAGGCTGAGGAGGCTAGTAAGAAGAAAATGTAGGAGGGAATGCCCTGTTTCCTGAAGGAGGCGAGGGGAAAGAAGTGATGAGCTCAACTTGCCTTGCTGGATCTCACAATGGTCAAGCCCCGGGTGGCCAAAGTGAGTCGGTTTCACTTTGATGGATGCCCGAAAGTCCAAAGAGATATTTTACAAATAGGCAGATGAGCTTTGAAGGCAATGATTTGAGGAGTGAGTGGTGAGAATGCGAAGGAAACGTTCAATGGCATTGAGGTCTTGGCATCAAACACTTCACTTATGAAGATTTGTGATTGGTCGAAGAAACACGCCGCTCAGTAGTATTCACCCATCGCTGCTTTGCTGGTTTCCATTCGAGTGACAGAATAGCATTCTCAACTAGTGGTCATGTGTGGCACAGAGGGGATACAGCAGACAACGACCTCCTCTGCTGATGAGAATTCGATGGATTTTGCTACCAATAACACTACTGTTGCCTACGGCTCTTGTAGTAATCACAGCTCTGAGAGTGGCAGCTCCAACGGCGACATCGATGCAACCAAGGCTTGTTACAGCAACTGAACGCTCACCGACGCCTCCTTTCGTGTCCTACGGCAAATGGAGGTTGATTTTCAATACCATACCTCACCCCAGAAGGCTTTAACGGTAGAGATATCGTGAACATTACCCTGTTGCAAGGTTTGGACGAGTCAAAATTAACGACTATCTGTACAAGTTCTTACGTCAAACCTTTCCCGCCTTGTCACTTTTTGGACATGCCTATTTAGATTCGGCGGAAGATCTACGAGCTCATTGTTGATGGCAACCACAGAGTTCAGATCAAAAGCGACCTTGAAGACTTCATTCCGAGAAGTATCATTCCTTGCAGTGATCACGGTTCTGCTGGATGCCTCCTAAAAATCTACCTCCATGAGTACGTTCCACAAACACATCGCCCAGGCACGGGAAACTTCTCTCATATGCGTTGCGCAAGCTCTGAAGCCAACCACAGCTGTCTTACATGACATGCGGACTGGCAAGCAGCAGATTGCTACCAACGTTACCTCTGAAGACCAGTTCGCACTGTGTCAAGATCCATCCATCTGTGCTGGCCGTGTGCAAGACTCGAGGCTTTGGAAGACTTGCCGACAGATCTGCGACGAGGAGCGCTCGTTCCTATACCACAGCAACACATTCGTGTTCTTGGCTTTCGCCACTTTTGCCGTTTACTTCGGGCTCATCGCCCCAAAATCAAGCGCACATACATCGCTCAATTGAACCCAACAGACTGCGCGCCATCCAGGCCATGACCAAAGTAGAGCTCCACGGCCGCTTCGGCGGCACATTCTCTCCGGGTTTTCTCTCGGCCAGCCGTCTCATCTGAACGGGACTCGGTTGCCTCACAAGCCTCGAGCTGAACCTCGAAGATTGTGCCGACAGAGAGAAGCTACCACACTGGAAGATTGACGACTGCATGTTCAACCAGCCATCATCGTTGAGAAAGCTTGTAGTTGATGTGCAGACTTTCATACCGCGGAGCCTCATTACTGAAGACCAAATACTGACTACCAAAAAGCAAGATCTTAACAAGGCAGAGGAAATCTTGCGCCGAATTTTGAAAGAGGAGCAACTTTGTAACACGGCAGAGCAATTCCTCGGCTATGATAGGACGGCTGCTTTTAAGGTCACCGATGCAAAGAGGGAAGGGTTCTTAGCTCGGAAATGAAGGCTTGTATGGATCGGAATGGAGGATTGCTGGTACGGACTGACCAAAGAGATCCTTGACGAAGAAGCCATCTAGAGTGCTATTATTCGTTTCAGTCCAGGGGGTATGGCGCGGTAGTACAATGTTCGGATTATGGCACCCTAAGCCATCGTGGTACTCAGGAGACTACTACGAAAGGAAAGCACAAATTCGCTGAAAAGCTCATTGAGCGAATTTGGAAGAAGGATGGATTTCAGAATGAGAAGGCAACATTCCTTGGACCGGTGTGAAGTGGAATCGGTGACTGTTGGTGAAGCTTGAAAAGTAGATGCGCAATGGCTCGTGAGATGGATATGGAAGGGTTCCTAGAATGAGATCTCAGGATGGATTCTCACCAGAGAAGCTGCGTAGAGCGCGGTGGTTCAATTCGTGCTAGTGATGGTTCTTCATATATACTTCGAGGTTGCTTGAGTGGAAAGTGGCCGATGAGCCGTCTCGAAGACGCCTAAAGTCACATCTTTCAAATTGAATTCGTTATGTCTAAAAATCAAAACCGAACGCCAACCGTTTATCCACTTAAGAGATACAATCCACACAGCTCCCGTCGACATAGACCCCATTTCCCTTCCACTGCACCCTCCTGAACTCCTCCGCCTACGTGTCTTCCCCCTCAAACACCAACATGCTCCACACAATGAGTCATTCCCCTCCAACTCCACAGCAACATATCGATCAACATGAAATTGGTACCCCGCCAGCCGAGCCTTTTCCGACAGCGACATCGAAGTCGCCAAATCACGATCTGGTAAGAGCGAACGGGTTGATGTCATGAGGGCACAACCTCCGAATTTTGAGGCCCGTTTCGCGAGCGTGCCTCGATGGCTGTACGTAGGATTTCCAGACATTCCTCTTGCCTTAGCGCCAGGGCATCGTTGTTCGCCTGTGACTTCCAATGCTGTGGCCCCGTTTCCTTTACCAGAGCAAGCACATCCCGACCCTCGTTATCCCTCGTGTCTAAGTCAACATCGGGATGTGCGCACAAGAGCCTCACAATCGCTGCGTTACCATCTATGACCGCACTTGCAAGGGGAGATACTCCCCCATTCTCTTTCGCGTTTACGTCGATGTCGGAATGAGATAGCAGGAGCTTCACCACTGCTTCGTGGCCTAAATGTACCGCATCCAAGAGCGGAGTCCTTCCATCTCTGTCTTGCGTGTTTACGTCGATGTCGGAATGAGATAGCAGGAGCTTCACCACTGCTTCCCAGCCTGCACGTACCGCATACAAGAGCGGAGTAAATCCCAGTCTGTTTTGCGTGTTCACTTCAATGTCGGAACAACCTAGTAATATCTCTACTATGCCCTGTTGACCGAAGGATGCAGCCAATGTGAGAGGTGTGTCTCCAAAATGATCCTTCGAATTGATCTGGACGTTCTCGTGTTTGAGCAGCTGTGTGACTACATCCGCTCTGCCAAACGCAGCTGCAAGCCACAAGGGCGTCTGGCCTGCATCGTCTCCTGAATCTATTACAATATCTCTTCGTGTCAGTAGCAGTTCAACAACTGTACTATGTCCTTCTTTTGCGGCTGATGATAGCGGAGAGCTATCGAAGGGACCTGGCAAGTTCACATCCACGTCTTCACGCTCAATCAAAAGCTTCACTGTTTCATCTTTGCCCGCTTGTGCAGCAATGCCCAGTGGTGTCGCAGTATAAAATAGACGCCCGAACATAGTAAAAAGGCCGCGGTTGTTCACATTGACATGGCTCTGTGACAGTAACAATTCCACCACGCCGTGATGTCCTTGTGATGCCGCCCACCACAACGGTGTCCGGCGAAAATGGTCCTTGGCATCTGCCTCGAAACCGTGGTTCAGAAGCTGTGAGATCATTTCTGCATAACCGAAATACGCGATAATGTGCATTGCAGAAAGTGGGCTGCGCGACATAGTCCCATTCATATCTAGAAAGATAGAATATCGTCCGTCTAGCACCAACAGCACTTGGCTGGCACTCGAGACTCTGTGATCGTCTTTGGCGAAGCTCATCATGAGTATTTTGACGTTCTGCTGCTTACACAATCTTGCATGAGTCGCCCAATACCTAGCGGCGTATTCGAGAAAAGGATATTTCTGCAACCGAGCTTTCACAGATCTTCCACAAGGAAAATCCCAGTCCTCTTCCCCTTCGTCTTCGTCTCTATTCCTGAGGGTATCTTCGGCTCTGTTTCCTTCGGCAAACTCTTTTTGTCGTACTTCGTTGGCCCAGCCATCTTTAAAATTCTCGTAAAGCAAATAGGTAAGACAGCTTATCGCAATGTCCTGCTTGGCACAGGCTAGAACTCTGTCACCGTTTCGCCTGAAGTATTCCTGGGTGGTGTAGTGGACCAGTCTGATGATCTGCGTTTCTTCGTCGACGATAATCAAGCCGGCACAGAAACCCAGAACTTCTTCGATGTCGCCCAGATTATCTTCATCAAACTCTCGCGTCCCAGGCTCGATTGCCAAGGCATGTTGTACTTCTTTTACCGTCATCAGCCTCTCCGAGTAGGTAAGCCAACCCAGTAGCTGTTTGGCAAGAAGTCTGAAACCTTCCATTTGGTTCTCAATTCTCTGCATTGCTCCATCGTAGGCCAGATCGAGAGCGTTCGATCCTTTTGGCAGTATTTCCAGCGCTTTCTTGATCAGCTTAGAGCTTGTTTTGTCCTTAAGCGAGTCCATGTGTAGCTGAGCCAGAAGAAACCTTGCTCAATCCATCAGCAGAACTCGCACGCAGATGGCAAGCCAGCAACTTACATTCCCTCGACCGAGTCAACTATAGCAGTCGCTATGGCCTCCTGTAAGCCCGTACTCTCCCTCACACATTTTGGCAGATCCGAAGTGTGCCCCTCCACGTATCTCCGTATATCTTCTGGGCTGGCCCGAACATCCATACATAGAGGATGGTGGAAGTTCAGAGCCAGAGAAGGGATGTAACGCGACGTCGTCATCAGATTGAAGTGATGAAGATCCTGCAGAGGACGTAGGCGTCCGATTAAGGTCTGACGAACTTGACCAGCGTTCCCTAACTCATCGAGGGCATCCAATATAACATAAACCCGCGACAAACGTGCCATCGAGGATCCTGTCATCTCTAACACCTCTTCAAATGTAGGTCGAGTCTCCATTTTTTGGTGGTGCTGGTACATCTTTAAAATGTTTTCCGGAATCAAATCTTGGTGCTGGAGCAGCTGCTTTGTTACGCTTGCTGTAAGGTTGATGGGTGTCTGTTCATCTTGTCTTTTGTAGTCGCAATATATGTAGGCGGTTACAACGTTCTCCTCACCAGGAATTTGCTGCAGGCGATCTATGACAAGCGATGCTAACATAGTCTTGCCTGCTGATAGTCAGTCTCAACGTTTTTTTGCGAGATCTTGGCACTGTCAAGACTACTAACCAGCACCTGGCATCCCTTGGCAGACCAGAGTCTTTCCCTCCTTATTCACCCATTCTTGGAATTCATGAGACCCCAAAAGCCATGAACCTGTCTCTTTTTGCCGCCTATTAGATAAGTCACTTTGCTGTGGGGCAAAGTTGAGAGGTGAGAGCCATTGCAACAACTCGTTCCGCTCTTGTTGGTTTTGGTTTAGTCTTAGATTGTGAGTGTCTTCAATTATAGAGTCGACCTTTTGGTTTGTCGCTCGGGACGCTTGACTGGGTAAGAGTGAGCTGATACAGAACTTTTCATATTCGCGATATCGGATATATCAAGATGCAATTTTCTTTTAGCAGATAACACTCACCTTGCAAGACTAGTGTTGAAGGCATTCAGAAACGTTGTGCTAGAGATCATGCGATCTCGCAGCTCATTGACGGTAGCAGAGTCCCATTTCAACTTTCTCAAAGCCTTCTGAGTCCTGGAGCTCACGCCAGAAGACTCGGTACCCAAGCTCTCGTTCTTCCGTATCAGCTTCTCAGTGTCATGGAGGACGCCACGACAACCTTCAATCAGGACCGGGAGATCGTCGGCCTGCTTATCAGTAAGCTGGATTCCAGAGAGGTTGTTCGCAATGTCATCGAGGACGCGGTGAAGACCAAAGACGCTGGACTTGATTAGTCAGTTTATTCCTGAACTAGTGACAGTCAAGGTATACTCTGTTTGGATGGCATTGAATTGATCGGAAGCGTCGCGAAACCTGCCCCAGATGGTACGTGCCAGAGTCGAGACGGCTATGATATCACCGACACCGTAGCCAAAAGACATGCCTGCTGCTATTCCACCCCGGTGACCCCTGTAGAGAGTGAGAAGAAGATAATAGAGAATTTCCCACAAAGGCGATAAAGTCTTGTGAAGTATGAAGAGGAAGGAACAAGATAGAAAATGGAAGGTGCGGGGGCCTCAGCTCTCAGCCTTGCTCACGTTGCGAGGCCAATGCAGGCTGACATATTGCCAAGACGCTAGCCACTTTGAGATCGAGCCTGTTTAAAATCCCTCAGCAACGATGCCGTTGTCGTTGTGTGGCCGTGTTGCTACGAGTCTACTAAGTAGGTAGTAGCGCACTTGCTTTAGGCTTAACCGCAGATATGCCAATAGTCCCCGTGAGTCTCGTCGTTTGTAGAGAGTAATTCACACCTTACGGGTTCCCCCTTGAAACGAAGCAATTGAGTCGTCTTAGCCCAAAGCCCAGCAATATTCACAGATCACCTATCAGCACCAAGTTCAAAGTCTACTCTCTACACATAATCAATCTCTTCCTGCTGCAAACATGGACTTCCTACCGTAGTAATGCGGGCATCAGCGTATAAAGTATGCCGTACGAAGGTGTACTACTCGTTACCCATGTCCCAGAAGCCTGTCTCCATCTGCTTCAACAATTAGCAATCAACCAGCCAGGCGTATCAGAAAGTTACATCCACAGACCTTAGTAGCATGTATGAATATCTTCACCAGCGACTCAATCTGGCTCGGTGACTGCAGCGCGGCATGCTTTTCCAATATCGCTGCCAATGACTCACCCATTAGCATCGGCCCAATGAACAACACAGCACTCTATCGGCTAGGTATATGCACCTTCCCCAGCTTCAACCGCCGCCCGATAGTCATCCGCCACATAATTCTGTATCCACTTCCAGTACCGATTGCCCTGCTCTTTCACGGTTTCCGGGTCGTCCCACAACCTTCTTGCGATGATGCCGTAGCCCAGAAGGCAAGGCGCGAAAGCCATTTGTAGCGCGAACCAGCTTTCGGAGTGCGCTATGTCGAGGACGTAGCGGGTGTAGGCTGTGCAAGCTGTGGAACATGAGCTCGTCCATGTTTTTGTTGACACAGTCAAGATAGGAATGGTTGATTACCTTGATGTTCTTCCTGTTTCTCAACCTCTTTCTTCGAGAGTCCGAATTCGGCGCAGTAGTCTAGGTGGAGGGACATTTCGCGTTGGATATGGAGGATTTCTTCTGCGCCCTGGATTGAGATTAGGGCTGTCATTTCAGAATTGGAATCGTGGTGGAGGAAAGGATACACATACCGCAGCAATGTCTTCCATCGAATTCGTCTTGTACGCGCTGAGAGCTTTGGCTCTTGCGAATTGCACCAGGAATAGGTAATCCTGGACGAGATACCCCTTGAACTTCTCAACCGGCAACGTCCCATCGCCAATGCGCTTCACGAAATCATGGTGGACGTGAGCATGCCACACGGGTTTCACATCCTCGCGATTCAGGAGGTATTCGATGAAGTATCCCCTAATTAACATCTGTCAACATCAAGCGAGGAAGCCAGCTACCAGTAGTGAAAGGGAAAAGAGCGTACGGAGAGAACGGAAGAGTATATGTAGAGTGGAAGTAGTCGATCAGGCCCTTTCCCTTGCTAATCCCAGCCTCGACATATCGGCACGCCTTCTGAGTGGCCGACGGCACGGCGTCCCCGAGGGCGAGATTCGAAGCGATTGCAGCTGAGGAAATCAATATTTGGGGTGCTCATAGTCTCTGAAGTCGACAACATACAAGCAAAAGCATATTCAACCCCCAGCGGAAGACTCGCACCGACATATGCCGTCTTGATGAGGCTGACATCCGTTCCATCGTAGAGAACGTCTACAATAACCTGCTTATCAGAGTCGTGTTTCGGTACGTCGAGATTCCCCGTCAGAGGTAGTTGGCCCCCTTTCAACAAAACAAAATCCGGTCCGAGACTATGCAGCGCTTTAGCAAGATGAGTCAGATCGTCCAGATTGCGGACATCCGGTTGGTGAAGAGCTCCCGCCTTATCCAATAGCAGTACTGCCTCTGAAATGCTTAGCGTCAATACCGTGGTCAGCGGGAGTAACTGCGTGTGGATAATATGCACTGCCTCATCTGACAGGAGCTGCGTTCCGCTCATAGACACCACGACCTACACTCGTGTAAGCCCGAGGCTGACAGAAAGGCGTAGAAGCTAGCCATCGTACGGGATCGAGGACCACGAATCTCGGGCCATGGCGTCTCAAGGCGTCAACTACGATCTGGACAATTTCTGCCGAAGCCAAAAAGCCTAGGCGAGAAAGGGTATCAGATTCTCGCTACAGACAGCTTTCAAGACAAGGGATCAATACCAATTTTGACGACCTCCACCCCACCACCATCGAAGCAGCCGTCAATCGCCGCCTTCACAAATGCCACGGATGGACTACACGTTTCCAATGCGCTCCCAGGACCATGCGCTGTCAAAGCAGTCGTCGCGGTGACGGCGTAGCATCCGTGAGCGGCGATGACTTTCTGATCGGCTTCGAGGCCGCTGTCCAATGCGGTGGTGCCTCAGCACACCAATCCTACCCAGCATCGGGAGCTCCAGGGATGCTTACCTTACACCAGAACTATCGGAGTCTGCTATGACGAGGATACGTTTTGGAGACATGCTGTGTCCAAGGGGTGGGTTACAGCTCGGTAAAGTAGGCGTGGAGAAAGGTTCCGCGCGGGTGAGGCCCGAGCAATTGCCGAAATATCTCCTCGGAAATTAGCGATTTCGAAATGGATAAGATTGCTTGGCAAAAAAAATCGCGCCCCGCCTCCGACTTTTTGTTAGCGCCATTCATAGAAATTTATAGAGAACTTACTCCCCTTCTATATTTGATCTTAATTTATATTTAAAGCTTCTATATAGTTTAAATACGAATATCGTGATATTATAATATCTCGGAATATCGCTAATTCTCGTTAGACGGCCTAAGTAGCCACTAATAGTTAAGAATCTTCTAAATCTCGTTATCGCTCTTTCTTTAAGCGAGTCTCTTTCGCGAATAAATAAGACGATACTATTATTATTATAGCTTAATAGAAGAAAAAATAAAAGAAAATTCGAGTTATTTAGATAAAGATTAAAGCTATAGTTAATAAAGTAATCTTAAAGAAATAGTGAGAGATTATTAAACGCTGTAAAAAGAAGAAGGCTATATATTATAAAGAGTAGAAGAATTATATAACTCGTTTAAAGGCTAAAGTAAAGACTTTACGACGTAAGAAGAAGCTTAAAGAATAACGTGTTACTACTATTCGCCATAAATAAGAAGTTTATACTACTATTATTTATCGCGAGAAGAAAAAATAGATAGTTATATAAAGAGATATTAGAATAATAATTGAAGAGCTTTTAAATAAGGTAGAGCTTAGAAAGCTTTATTCACCTCGAACTTTTACGATAATAAAGAGAAATGAGAATATAAGAAATAGACTCTATAAGTACTCTATTAAAGTCGTATTAAAGATATAAAATAAATCGTAAACGTTTATTAAATAGAATAATAAGATTAATAGTCTATATCGTAAAGAAAGCTTCGATATCTACGTTTTAAATATCGATCTTAATATAGTTATAAAGTAATACGATATTAATAATCTTAGTAAGATTCGAGGATAAACGAAATCTACTTACTTTAAAAAAACTCGTTAAAACTTTATTTTAAATATTATATCTATTAAATAGTAAGAATAACGAGTTAAATCTATTACTATAGTCGAGTAATAGAAATATTCTAAATATATCCTCGATATAAAGCTTATATATATCGATTATATTAATCTTAGAAGAGATATTTAGACTATCGACGAGCTTATATAGTTATCTTCTTATTACTAAATGAGAACTAGTATTCTAGAAGATTAGTATACTATTATTCGTAATTGATAGAAGTCTCTTAGTAATATTATAAAGCAATTAATTACTAGATAAATATATTAGATTACGAGCTATAATTATTAAAATATCTATTAAATCGATAAGAATAATAAATATTATAAAATAAACGCTATAATAAGAGAGAGATAGATTACTATTATTTAAAACGGTTAAACTACTTAATATTAGTCTTCTTTACTCGTATATAAGATCTTTATAAATATAAATTCTAGTATTAATAATAATAGTTAAAAAAAGAAGAAGACGATTTTAATAAAGTAAATAAAGACTATAATAAAATAGTAAATAAAGCTTAATTTATTAAAGAGTATAAAGTCTATAGCGAGTATAATTAGTGAAGAAAGTTAGTTATTATACTTATAATAATTCTATTAATCTTCTTCTTATTAGCTTTCTTCTTACTAATCTCCTCCTTCGCCTATATATTCTTTTACGTTATTTTAATATTTCAATAACTATTTATAATAATAATTAATTAATATCCTTTCTTCTTCTTCTCTTATTACTACTATAGAGATTTCGCGAATAAAAATATCGTCTTCATAACGATTAAGTTCTATCGATATATATACTAAGAAGAAAAATATTATTAAGCGCTTTTAATAGTAAAAGAAGAAAGATATAAATAAAGCGATAAGAAAGCTCTAGATCTATTAAATTTAGACGTTTATTAAGTAGTAGATATAAGATATAAACGATATAAAAGCTCTATCTAACGCGTTTATCGATATCTATAAATATATAATAAGTAAAGATCTATCGTATAATCTTCTTCGAGATCTAAAAGAAGATTTATTAATCTTTAAGATCTTATAAAGAGAGACTTATTAATATATCTATACTCTAGAATAATTAAGATAAAGATAGAAATAAAGTAAAGGATTTAATTAATATTATATAATATTTTATTATAATTACTCCGCGATCTCTATAATTAAATACTTTAAATCTTATTTAAATATCTTAATTTTATCGTTAAATATATAATCTATAGTATTATACTTAAAATACTTTATTATAAATCTATTATAACTATTAATATCGATTATATACTTTAGAAATTCTTTAAAGTTATTCTAAAAGATATATTAAAAGATCTTAAAATAATATCGTATTTACGTCTTAAAAACGCTAAATATTAATTTAATAGAATTATAGTTAGATGAGTATAAAGGAAGGTACTTAATAAGATAGTCTTTAATATAAATAGTTTTAATAATATGAGAATCGATATAAACGCTAACGTTATTTAGAATAATAATATTACGCTTTTTAAGATACTCGTTATAAAGAAATAATAATTAATTAATTAGTTAATTAAGAATATCTTTCTTACTATAATAGCTTTTTTTAATTTCGATATAAAATAAATAGCTAGTAGTAATATATATAGATAGAATATTAAAAGTATTATCTTATTTATATTACTATAATATCGAGTAGAATTATCGATAGAAGTATAGATTATAAATTATTACATTATTTATAGCTTAAATAACGACTCGTTAATAAAGACTAGCTGCTTTATTTTAATTTAACTTATAAACGCTTATTATATAATACGTAATTCTTCGCTTTATAGATTGATTCTTTAATTCTTCTTATATATAACTCTAATCTATTTTAGAATCTTATAGATAATAGACTTATAGATCTTAATATCTTACTTCTCTTTTAGATATCGCATTAATTCGCCTTAATATAATTACGATTTTTAATATTAATAATTAAGAAGGGTCTTTAATATAGTAGATAATAGCTTAAAATATCGTTTTTAATAATATCTATTCTATAGAATTATAATATAATTATAGATAATAAGATTTCGCTCTTATCGATACCTCGTTATCTTACTCGAATAAATATTCTAAGCTACTATATTAGATCGTTAATAAGACTTAAAAAGTAGTCTAGCTCGCTAATAAACGAAGAAGTCTTTAAAGTTAGAAGGCGGTAGTAATATAGACGATAGAAATATTATATCTTAATCGAGAGTATCTATAACGATCGAGTTAGTTAAAAATATTAAAAAAATCGTATATATATACTATTAAGGTCTTACGAATATTTAATTAAGATAGTAAGCTATCTAAAAGAAATGAGTTATTGCATTATAAGAGTGGAAAGTACGTTCTCTATAAATTTCTATAAATAGCGCTAATAAAAAGTCGGAGGCGGGGCGCGATTTTTTTTGTCAAGCAATCTTATCCATTTCGAAATCGCTAAAAGACCCCACACAGGTAGAAGGGCATGACGAATTTTTCGGCCTGGAAACAAAGAGGGTTTCCAACCCACCACCATCCCTAACAAAGGGAAAATATCCGGATTTTATCCCTGATAGAGGTCGTTGCATACCGTATGCCGTGCAGATGCTGAAGTCTAGAAGGGTTTCAGAGGCGCTCGACGCAGTCGCCCCCCGGGAGGCGCGCCGGAGGCTAGGGGAGTTTGGGCTGGAAAAGGGACATATGTGCAGAGCGCGTCTCGGAGTACCCTAAGCTACAACAGATACTCGGTACATGCTGAGTATTTGGGGCTTCACTCCTACGCAGTCGCATATGTATGCTGGTTATACGCACCCCATGCCGAGCCGTGAGCCCGTCGAAGGGGACGGGTCTGGAAGCTTTGATGGATGGTTGGTGGGTGGATCGGGTGTTGTGAAAATGGAACCGCACTGCACTGAGGGAGGGAGGGGTCCGGGAATCCCGAAGGAATGTATTTTCTACCACCTTTGATGACTCGACAACGAGAGTCTTGATGACAGAATTTTCGATTCATTAAGGATTCTGATCGACTAGCTATAGATCTTTTGTACCAAAAGTATGAGCGCATGTTAAACCGTTGAAGAATGATCTGACTCCAAAATTTCGCCTCTGTGCATTTTATTCTGAAGAGGGCGAGCCGAGTAAGGGCAGCTTCAGACGTGCTATCTGCCACCTCGCTAGTCGACGCTAATGTGGCGGCCTTCGAATTTTGCCGGAAACAACTTGGCCGGTCGCCGACACTAGCTATCTAGACCCGGCCTAGGATCTAGCGGCGGAGGTGAAATATCTGTAGGTTGCGAATCTGAAGCTAGGAGTAAGGCGGTGCTGGAAGCGGGATGGATGATGGGTCGGGCCTCGTTGAGATTGGGCTGGATCGGGGAATTCCTTTGCGATGGGAGTTGCCGATTGACGGGGTAAGCGAGCAAGAGGGTGCGGAATAGTTATTTCAATGCGGGATTGGAAATGATGGGATTGGTGGCGTCATCAGGATGCGTTTTGTGAAGAAAGAAGGTATTTGTTACTGCTATGTACGAATCTTATGTACGAATCTTATGTACGAATCTTCTGTATCAGTGCGTCTCGGAAGACTCTAGCACGGCATGTTTTACCTGCCACATCATGCGCCGCTGCTTGAGCGTGGTAGGAGCATGGAGTTTCTAGCCCCGTTAATGATGATTAAAGCTTCTTCGGGCTGCCACGACAAGATAAAAACATCCACCCTAACAGGCAGCCTGTATGCCATTGCGCCACGAGAATGATCAATGAGGTCTAGAGCCTCGTGGCCCGTGGAAAGCCGGTTCGCGGGGATGGGGCGTGGAGGGATCCCCGGTGTGTGTGGGGAGGCGTGTGGGTTGCAGGATAGCCCTAGATTTATCAACCACGCAACTGCAGCCGAGCCAGCCAGAATTTTGACGACGAAGATGGGAGGAGAGACACCAACTTGCCGCTCACTGTCGCTGA